GCCATTCAAATAAAACACTTTTATTCTAGCATTGAAGAAAAAAGGTTTTTAAGAAATTGTAAAAAGTAGTTTGTGTGCCATTTCCATTACTCTTAGAGTCAGAGATCAATTTTTGTGGCATTGACACCTCTTTAGAAACAGTGGAGTCACCATGGAACTGTTTTGATGAGATTTTTGTGTAATTTCCACAGAAGTAGTTCTGTGAGATTTTCCTCCTTTAGTTTCAGTGCTGTAACGTCTATAATACATAAAACTTAAATAGAAGATTATAAAGAACATAATCTTCCTTCTATGCAGAAACAAAAAGAAAGAGCCTTTATCTCATAATTTACTCTGCCTCTTGCTATAAGAAAAAAATGTGCATTGCATTGGAAATTTAAACATTTCACATTTCTGCATTTAATATTTTAAGGCATGAGAAAAACATCATTATGTTTTTCTGTTTTTACATGCAGGTGCAACTTAAAGCAAGAGATTTGTTACTGAGAAGTTATATATTAGTAGGATATTCATAAATGCTACCTTAAATCAATATATAGTTAAACTGATTAGGCAAAGGATTTACCTGGCCAGTACTTTGTTTATAAAGTCAGAATTCTTGTATTCAAAACATTTAACAGCCTCCAAAGGTGCCCTTTTGTTTTAATTTGGATTTCTATATGCTGGATTTCTTAAAATGAGACTAGTCAGCTTAGTTGATTAAAACAGAGATTTGTCCTTAAGATTAAATGAACATTATATAGATCTGTGGGTTTTCAGGGCAGAAGGTCCTGGTTTCCATCAGATTCTGAAAGGTGATCTTTGATCTTGTCTTAAAAATAAGGCTAAAGAATTCTGGGTAAGGGTCTACCGCTGAGGATACTAAGGCTCTGGGCTCTTCTCCCTCCCTGGGTGTACCCTTGGTCAGCCACATTGCACAGCAGGCCGGAGCCCCCAGCCTGGAACTTGAGATCATACTCCGTGTGCAGGAGAGGATTGGTGGGGCTGTCTCAGTCCCCTTTCGTTAGATGAACTGGATGGTTTGGATCCTGTGTAACAGTGAAGCAGTTTGGCTGCTGTACTGGGTTGAATAGTGTTCTCCGCCCCACCCCCACCCCCACTCTGCCATTTCAAGTCCACCTGGAACTTGTGAATGTGACCTTATTTGCAAATAGGGTCTTTACAGATATAATCAAGTTGGGACAAGGTCATACTTGGTTAATCCAGTGACTGGTGTCCTTATTAAAGAAGGGAAATTCGGACACAAGCATAAACCCAAAAAGCAGTAGAATGAACAAATCAGGAAGTTTTGTGTTTGTTTGTTTAATAACTAAAATAAGCCCGGAGGTGGGCAGTCCAAGCAAGTATAACAGCTCCATGATGTGCCCAATGCCCCAGGCTGCCTCTGGTTTACTGCCCACAGTCCTTAAGCCGTGATCCTCATCCACATGCTTGCAAGATGACTTGCGGAGTGCCTGCCAGCCTTTCAGGTCACAAAAGTGTGAAGTGTAAAGGTCCAAAAGGCAGCGAGGAGCTTTCCAGAAGCTCCATCCGGGAACTTTTTTTACACCTCATTGGCCAGAGTTGTGTCACGTGACCAACCTTGGCTCTGAGGGGAGGTGCGCACGGTGTTGCCCTGAATGAGATCTGGGACGTGTTGATGAGGAAGGAATGGAAGGTGGAGCTGGGGTGGCCCACCAGCAGCTCTGCCACCTCTAGACCCAGGAGACAGTACAGCAGTGAGCATCCAGGCTTGTTGGCTGTTCAGGCTCTGCTCAAGCGAGAACACAGGGGGGGAGTGGCTTTAGATCATGGGGCATTACTCCCACTTAGGACTGTCATGAAAGACAGGGGCTTCTCTTGTTCCAGCTTGCCCATACAGCCATGCCTTCCACCCTCATCTCGCCACCACTACCCAAGTATGGGTTTGTGGCATCTAAGAGAGGACACTGGGGTGACTTGCTTCCTGGGATTTTCAGGCAACTTGACCACTATGATTTTGTAAGATCTCAGGTAGACACTGATACTTCCCTAGTGGGGTAATGAATCATATACTTAAACTCAGGTACACAGAAATCTCATCTGAAGTTTCATTCCCACCAACGGCAGTCCAAGGCTTAAACTTGCCAATTAGAGGCAACCTGGTCTCTTACAAGTTAACCATCCCATCTGAACACATGCCCACAGTTAGTTTCTCCACTTGGTCTCTTCTCCCTGCCAGGGTGGTGTCAGGGTGCTAGAATGGCTCATATGTCTCTTTGGTATTTGAGAAAGGGCCTCTGAGTGCCCTCTGGGTGTTTGTTGGCCTCTAAGGAGAACTCAGTTCCTGCATAGTTACGGGCTTCCGTCGCCACTGGAACCACTGACTGACTGCCCTATTAGCCTATGACCCTAAAGGCCTTCGGTCCTGGCTGCTGTTGACCGTGGGCCCCACATTACACTGGACACAGGAGCCAGGCCATTTGGCCAAACCTTTGGCTTCGGGATATGTCGCCCAGCAGACTATCGAAGGGGCAGGCGGGAGCTGCAGATAGAGTCAGGGCAGCAGGCCCTCTTTGCCTGACCCCCTGATTCGCTGCGTATGGCCTCCAGTGGCCTCCCCTCCATTAGCTCCTTGGACCCAAGAAGCAGCGCCCCCGCCACCATGCTTCTTCCAGACGTCCGGGTGTTCCTGCACCCATTAGCTGAGCTTCCTTTCAGGGCCCAGGAGTTCTTCCCCTGCCGCCCCCGCTTACAAAGCAGAAGCTGGGAAATCTGCCCCATGTTGCAGCTCAGTGGGGCAGAACTCACCGCCCGACCAAACTACCCAGCTACTATGCGTCGTGCCGCCCCAGGCAGCCCTCAGACCCCTGCCTTAACAACCCCGGCAGTCCTAAAAACAAAAGCAACCTTTTCCATGTTCTAAAAGGCCTACATAACTGGTTCTTGTCAGGTCCCTGCAGTTGGCCGTCGTTTATGTCTTGTTGAGTGGATTCTGTGTTGTTTTTTTTGTTGTGAGAGAACAAATTGTTAGAGGCTTTTAAGGAAACCAAAAACATTCCCTCTCTAATTATATCTGTTATTCCATTCCCATTCATCTTGCTTTCTTGTTTTGAAGCAGGCCTTTATTACTAGCCAGAAGCTACAGTCACGTTTTCTGAGTAAATCAAAGCTGCTGTTTTTCTGCCGTGGTGTGTAAGAGGACTTGTCGACGTGGTTTAGAGACTTATTGTTGTTGAAGATTCTGACAGACTGTCCGGCCGGGCTCATGTTGATGGTATCAGTCTTTGCCTTTTCCTTTTCTGGAAATACTTTTGGAAATATTTAGCATAGCGGTGTTTTGAAATGCAAGTTCCAAGAGTGTTTTGCCACATTTGCTCCGTCAGTCAGTACTTAACTGTGTCCCTAAAATGCACCAAGCCTCGTTCTAAGGGCTGAGAGTAGAGCCCTGAGTAAGACAGTCTCGGAGCTTATATCCTGTTGGGGGAGACGGACGACATGTAAGCCCGCAAACGCATGTGACCATGCTGGCTGGTGACAGGTGCCTAGTGCGAGTATAGGAGCAGAGACGCTGTGGCCGCAGCCGGAGGATGACCTGGCCTCCCTTGGTTTGGGTGGGCAGGAAGGCTGCCCTGAGGAGGCAGCCTGGGCCTGGAGTTGAACGATGAGGAGGAGCCAGTCCGCGCGGCTCTGGGCCCAGGGGCTGCGGGCCAGGAGAAGAGTGGGCCGGCTCTGCCGCTGGCACCAGCAGGGCAGGGGTGAGCAAGCAGGGAGTGACACGTCGCTCTGGTGGCCGATGGGGGCCCGGCATGGAACTGAGGAGTCCCCCGTTGAGACTGGGGCAGCTCTACTGAATGAATGACTAAGCATGGGGCAGGTAAGACCTTATAAGTAGGTGTGCTTTTTTTTTAAATTTGAGATAGAGCGAGAGTGAGAGCGAGAGAGAGAGAGAACACAAGCAGGGGGAGCGGCAGGCAGAGGGAGAAGCAGGCCTCCCGCTGAGCAGGGAGCCCGATGCGGGGCTCGATCCCAGGACCCCGGGATCATGACCTGAGCCGAAGGCAGACCCTTAACGACTGAGCCGCTCAGGCGCCCCGAGGTGTGCTTTAAGGCCACAAGATCAGAAAGCAGGTGTTAATGGAGGGTGAGCCTACTTACTGTAGTGATTCTCCAACTGGTGTGCTTAAAAGTATCTTTTTTGAAGTGTGTGTTACTGTCACCCCCACCAATGCCTTCTCCTGCCTAGCCCCGGGGTGCTCCCCCGAGAATCCGGCTCAGCAGGCCCCCGAGAGGGCTGTGTGCCTCCCTCAGGCGCGCGGTGGGGGAGCGCCGAGCACCGCTGCCTGTCGGAGCTCCTGGTGGGCAGCTCGGTGCAGTGCTGAGCCTGGCGGTCACAGCTGACTTGCTGGATCCCTCACACCGGGCCTGATGAAGGACTTCTCACGTGGAGGGGGAGCCTTCTGGAGGACGGAGAGAAGTAGCTCCTGCGACGACGTCCGGCTCACCCCGTAGGCCTTGTTGTCTGATGGCACCTCTGCAGTGCCGTGAGTTTGTCCTGTCATGCTTACCGTCTTGTTGAACTGACGATGTGCTTTACTGTTTAAATCTTTAAAGACGGTCACTTTACTAACTTCAGTCACCTGGGAGGGCCTGGCCTTCAGAGAGGTGAGCTAACATCACTGAACCACGAGGCAGTGTAGGAAGGCCAGGCTGAAACGTTTCCTCCCCGAGGCTGGATGAATGCTCCAGGCCATTCACATGAGAGGTTAGCAGGAGGTGCCCGGCTCTCCCTGTGGAAGTGAAGACCCATCTGTCGTCGTAAGAATGTATTTGGCGCGTTGGTGGGAAGGCTGTGCATACTGGGCTCAGGGCTCCCCTCTGCTCTCCCCCACACCTGCCTCATCTGCAGCTGGGCAGAGCATCCTTGGTGGAAATACTTGCCATGAAATTGGACAGAAAAATTTCCAAGCAAGTTATGGTGTGGCTAGCAGACAAGCTATACTCAGAGCATTAGTTCTAAAATGTCATTCTTTTGTTTTCAGTAAATATTCAAGATGTGATATTACAAGAAAATTTGGAAAAAGAAGATCAAATTCTGGTTTCTCTGGCAGGATTAAAACAGGTATGTCCATTTGACCTGACTTTGCAATCCACTGGCCATTCTTCTAGTGCCTGTTGGGGAGGGCACGCTATGGCATGGCATACCGTGGTATTAGCGCCGGCCCCTCATTTCCTCCCGGGCAGAGCCCATCCTGACTCCCCAGTTCCTTACACCTCTTGGTCCTACTGGCAATTAGGTCTGACGAGCTTGCAGCTCAAGCTAGTTGTCTGTCCCCACCGTTGCTTCTTCCTCTTACCAAAGCCATTCCGTTTGTTCCTCACCCGGAGTTGGTGTTTTGTGGTCCAGCAGCATGTTCAGTTGTTCATCCACAAATCCATGCTGTCTTTGGAGCACAAGTAATAATCACCACCCACGGCAGGCCTCAGACCCACAAGGACCATGTTTCCCCAACGCTTGGAAGGCTGCGTGGAACATACCTGTTAATGAAGAGAGCGTGTTGCTCTCAGATGTCTGCCTGTGTTATTAACAGCTCAGCTGGGTGCAGCCAGTTTGGTAGCTAAGGGCTGTTCCGTGGGGCTGGGTAGGTAAGCAAATGGTACTTCCTGCCCAGGATGTGACACCCAGGGCTCACCCTGTGAGAACCCGGCCATTAAGACTGAAATTTTCCTTGGTCATTAGTAAGTCCATGGCTTTGATAGAGTTGGATTTTTTTTTCTGTTACTCCTTTCCTCTGGTAATATATTCATATCCATACTATTAAAAAGTGGTCAGGGATAAGTCTAGTTTAAATGTTAGAGGTTTAGCTAGTATTGTGAAACAAACTCATTCATCTCTTCCATTTATTTTCTTCTTTTTGAAAACTAGATCAAAGACATTCTAAAAGGTTCTCTGCGTTTCAACCAGAGTCAGCTGGAAGCTGAGGAGAATGAGCAGATCACCATCTCAGATGACCACTACTGCTCCAGTGGCCAAGGCCAAGGCCGGGGCCAGAGCGACGAAATGCCTGGGGCCACCAAGCAGGTATAAGAGCTCTGGTGAACAATGTCACAGTAACTTGATGGGGGCACATCCGCATAAGGTCTTGAAAGTTGTGAATACCAAAAACTTTACCAAAGTCATTTCAAATTACCATGTGCGAAGTTCAACTATAAAATACCACAGGTGGCCTGACCCAGAGGTGCTGTGTAGCCGGGCAAATTGCATACTCCAGTGCCCCACGGGAGACCATTGTCTCCTAGAGTTGTGCAGTGTACAACCTACAGACCTGTATGCAGCAGCTTTAGCCTGAACGTCCTGCCAGTCCTGTTGTGTGGCCTTAGAAAGTCACGGCTCTGCCTCAGCTATGGGTCGGTGCCTCCAGCTGATGCCTCCAGTCCCCGTTAGCACAGGAAGTACTGTTCCTACTTTTCTGATGCTGTCCTCAGTGGACTCCTCTTGGCTACAACCTTTTCTGCCCTCACGGAGAAGGGCTTCTCATTAATGTCTATCCTCTAAGGGAATGAGGTCAGCAAACTTTCTCTATAAAGGATGAGATGGTAAATATTTTAGGATTCGTGGGCCACATGTGGTCTGGTCTCATATTTGTTTTTGCATTTGGTGTGTTTGTTTTTACAACCTTTAGAAATGTATAAGCCATTATCATCTTTCGAGCCATATGGAAAGAGGCCACAGACCACATTTGGCTTATGGGCCATAGTTTGCTGCCCCCTGCTCTCAAGGTGTTGACATTGTGTGTAATTTATTCTAACATAGAAGCACAGACTTTTCCAGTGAGAAAGGATCCAGGAAATTCCTCATGGGCTTAGTCCTATCTGCTTATTTTACCAGTGAGACACTGAAGGCCCAGGAGGTGCACAGGCTGGCCAGGCATCGTGTTTTCAGAATTCCTGTCCCAACCCAGCAAGCTTCCAGCTCCACTGTGCTTCCTCACTATACTTTATTTGCTAGGACTAAAAATCCCTAGTAATATGTTTTTTAATGGCTTACAAAGTCTCATCTGGAAAAATGAACATTAGCAAAATCTCATCTAAGGCTCTTTCTCAAAAACTAGCATCCAGATGCTTGTAAATTATTTATTTTTTATGATTTAAAAAAAATGGTATTTTAGAATGGAATTTTTTTTATTTTAAGAGTACTCCCCACCCCCCGCCCCACAAAGAGTACTTTTCAAGAAGAGAGACCTTATGTGATTAATTTCATCCAGCTTTAAAAGGAAGGTTTCATGGAGCCATTAGTCTGCATCTTTGGCCACATGGATACAGCATTAACGTTGCAAGTTTAATTTGATTAGTTCCTCCACATTCTCCTTCTCTAAACAGATGTTTAATTTTTCAATAATCATTTCTTTATTCAAATATTGTTGAGCTTAGGCTCACCTCCAACCATTTTTAATTGACAGTTTTATTCTAAACTTCAGCGTGATTTTTTTTTGTAGTTGAATATATAAAAGTAATACTGAAAAACACCTTTCAAAAACACTAATGAATTTGCTACATTTAAAGCTTCTTGATTATACTTTGCCATTGTTTTTCCCAGTTCTCATATCTGTAAGAACTACCTGTGGCCACCACTGCCCCACAGAGCCCCATGTGCATCCTGGGTGCGCCGGCCACGAGGCGCAGGTGACACGAACTAGGACACGCCCCGGCGTGGGCAGAGCCGCACTCTTGTGCAGCATCCGAGAGGCCCTGTGCGTCCGCATGTGCTTCTGAGACGCCGCCAACCCGTCCTGCGCCAGCACCCCACCGCTGCCTTCTGTGCCTCTGTAGGGTTAGGTGGAAAAGGGGAAAAGCGGGAAAGGGGCAAACAGTAGGGCTCTCCTTTTTTTCTCATTCCTGCCATGGCTTCTTCCCCAAGGGTGTTAGCAGTTTATAAAAAACCTGTCCTCCTAAAAGAGGTTTTACCCGAGGAAGGGAAAAATAGGGAAGCAGTGCTCTCTCCTCATCTTCAGGGGAGGAAAGCCAAGTGAAGTCCCAGATGAAGCAGCGAGTCCCCCCAAAAGCTGAGTGTCTGAGGCCTTGTGGGAATCTGGACTAGACTCATACAGGGGCCCCCTGACAGGAAGTCCTGGCCCACCGTCTTTCCTTAGGAACCTGTCCCAAGCCTTGGGCGGCGGTCAGGCCTTGGAGCTGGCTGACGTACTTTCTCACTGCTTGTGGGGACCGGGGTGGGGGCTGGGGGCTGGCTCTGGACAGGAACATGTGTGCCAAGTGGGAGTTCTGAAGGCTTTTCCCCTCCTGCCTCCCAAATGTGAGCTGAGGGCCTGCTGTGCCAGCCAGTGGGTGTTCAGGGTTATGGGATGTAGCCCCTGCTCAAGAGCTTCCTGTTAAATGGAGGGCCAGAGACTGGGGGGTGGGGGGGAGGGGGAGGGCAGTGGAGGCAGGCTTTTGCAACATTTCTGGAGATGTAATCACCACATGTGGGGTCTGTGGTAGGTTCTGCCACAGCTCATCCCTAACTTAGGAATGTCTTTGCTTTCTTGGTTTAGCACTAAAGTATGTGTGAAGGATAATGCAGAGGACTGGGCTGACCCACCTTGGGGCAGGTGGCTCAGGGTCCCCCGGCCAGTGCCCTTCCCCATCAGGAACTCCAACAGGGCTCTTCCTTTGTGGACATGCACATGCCCTGCTCCCCACTGGCATGTTGATGGGGATGTGGCTAATATTATTCTTTCCATTTGATTCACAAATCTTGTCTTCAGCTCTGAAAATGGCAGATGCAAAATTGTATTCTGTAAGGAGAGCCACATTTTGGCCCTCCCTCCCAGCGTCTTTCACATACTCTTCTGGGAGGCTTTTGGTGAACTTGACCCAAATCTACGCCAGTGGCAGGTAGGACCTTGTAGGACAACCAGCTCCTATCATGTGCCTCCTGGTGCTTGGGGCCCCTATTTTTACCTGTATGGCCTATAGCTGCATTGTCTAAATATAGTAGCCACTAGCCACACATCGATTTAAAATTAAACTTATCTCATTAAGATTCAATAGAATTAAGTTAAAAATACAGTTCCTCCGTCATACTAGCTACCTTTCAAGCGCTCGATAACCACATGTGGTTGGGTGCTACTCTATTAGCATAGAAAGAGAGCCCTTCCGTCACTCTAGAACATGTCTGCTGAACAGCTGGTCTCTAGTTGGGCTCACCTGCTTCTACTCCGTGACCCTAAGCTCATGATCCTAAACAAAAGGTAAGAAATGAGGCAGGCTGAATGGCAGGGTTGGGGGAGGGGTGCTGTATATTGTGTTGGTCCTGGCCAGTTTTAAGCAGGACTGACAGGTTGAAAAACTTCTTTAATTGTATAGTACATGCCTGTGTTTGGCAAAAAGAGAGGATTGACCTAGGAATTTCCGAAGTTTTTGTAAATGACATAAACAGAACCAGGTAGCAGCTAAGATTGTATAGAAATCCAGAAAGAAGGCATCTTTGTGTCTAGGAGAAAGTTCTAGTTGGGAATCCAGAAGAGGCAGATCTTTTCATTTGCTTTGGGACATTGGCCAAGCCACCAGGCCTCTGATCTGGGTGTCGTTGTGTGATCTGTAATATAAAGGTGAGGAGGGGTGCTAAAAGAAGGGGGTGACTCAGGCCCTGCCGGCTGTACCAGGCTTTGTCTGAGCCAGTCTGTGATTTTATCTGGGAATGGGGAGCGGAGCAGTTACCCACCATTTATAACTTGCCTTCCCTACTTTCCCAGAAATGCGCCAGATAATTAGTGATGGTAGGAACCACCTTTACTTCCAGGCACAGGCTTTATAACATATTTCTCATCTTCAACATCTTGTACTGTATTCACTCTAAGCTAAAGGTGAATAGGTTATCATGCTATTTCTGTAGTAGAGATGCCACTCTGAAAATAGGGCCTGCTGTACATGCTGTTCTCATTTTCAGCCTCAGATAAGCTCTACCGGGCAGCACTCCAGCCACAGACCCTGTGTGGGGTGAGAAGTCCAGGGTTTCACAGTTTATAGTTCAGGACAGCGGTCATATGAACAGCGTCCACACTTTGGAGGTAGAAGGATGAAACTGAGGTCCCACCCAGCCTTACGTGCACCCCGTGTGCAAATGCAGGGGGGGGACAGGTTGCACGCACGTGTCCCCTCCAGGCTCTGCGAGGGTGGTACAGCCCCGACTGGGTGCACCTTATGGTGGGATGGTCTTTCTCTACCAAACTGTCCTGGTGCCAATTATCGCATCCTCTGCTGCCAGAGTGCCATGTTCTGCGTATCGCCTCAGTTTTTTAAGAATTAATGTGTTGCTGGAATGTAAACAGCTTTAAAACTTGAGATGAAGAATTTCAAGGCCTGTTGTTTCAGCACTGTGATCTTAAAGTTAATTCTGTTTCTCTTCTCCCAGTTAAAGATCTTAAAGTTGGATGAATGGTCAGAGGATGGAGGCACATGAGCCATTATTTGGCCACTCACCACCCGCCCCCCCACCTCCCACCCCCATGTCACCAAGAACATGTAGTCCAGAGAGGGGACTGTCAGGTCCAGATTTCCCTTGGAAGTGTTGCTGACTACCTGTCCAGGCTCTGCCCACAGCCCGCGGGTGGCCCAGGCCATAGCAGTCTGGGGGCCAGAGGACGGAGGGGGCACTTCCAGCCAAGGGGTTCTGTACAGCTCGTCAGACTTCAGACCTGGGTGCCAGTCCCCACCCATGCTGTGGGAGAGTAGGGGGGGGGCGGTGGTGAGCAGGCCGTGGGCACGATGTCTGCTTACATCAGTATGTCTTCTGTCAGGTTGGCTTTGGAACATCCACACGTGTCCCAGGGTAGGCAGGAGCTTCTCTGGGTTTAACCCAAAACCTTTACTGGTATTCATGGATGTCAGCTTTTTTTTAGTTAAAAATCAAATGCTACTCATAATTGCTTAAGAAGAAAGGAAAATAATTGTAAAGCAATACTGTATGCTTTTTGCCATATACTTTACAGTTGCTATTCCTGGTTTTCGTGTTTGCCACCATTGTCCCAGGGGGCCCCTAAGTGCATACCGGGGCTGAGCTGGTTAGAAGATACATACACTAGGCCCTCCTGAAGCTCTTCGTTAAGCAGGTAATAAAATCACTCCAGGTCTGGGCTTATATTAGGGATCCAGTCCTATGCGATGCACAGCCACGCGCATCATCTCAATGCGTGGTGACCACACACTGGGTCAGAGATGCTGTCCTTGTCCCCATGTCACAGGTGAGAACATGAGAGCCCAAGGAAGATGAGTGATGTGCATGGCAGGGTGCCACGTGAACGGATGGGGATTCTTTCTGCAGCCTGCCTCCTGAGCCAGCCTCTCTTAACTTTCCAAGCAGGAGGCTTACTCTATTGCCCTGGGAAACCAGCACCCAGCTTCAGAGGAACTGGCCCCGCGCTACCGGGAAGTGCCGGGGCTTCAGGGAAGCAGGACCAGACACCACATCTTTCCAAGGAAGAGCATAGGGCCTAAACTTCCGAGAAGCGCTCCCGGCTCACAGGGCCACCGCTTAGTTCTCTTGTTTCACTGGAGTCTTCACTCATCCACCTGTACTTCTGACTGTACTTCACAGGCCTCTTCAGAAACACCAGGGCGCGTGGACAGAGGAAGTACAGATGACTTCATCCTGGTCTCCAAAGAAGACGAGGGGGGCAGCGCCAAGGGGTCCTTCTCAGGCCAGTCCCAGCCTCTTCGCACCCTCCGAAGCACCTCTGGGAGAAGCGAGCCCCTGGCCCGCTCTCCTCTCGTGTTCTCCGACCCTCTGATGGGCCCTGCCTCGGCTTCCTCGAGCAACCCCAGCTCCAGCCCCGACGAGGACAGCAGCAGCAACAGCAAGGACTCTGGCTTCACCATTGTGAGCCCCCTGGACATCTGACCACAGTGCCCCTGGCCTCCTTCGTGGGGACTTGCCACCCCCCTCAGCAGCCCCAGGGCCCGGCTGAGGCTTCCGCAGTGGAGACCCCTCTGAAACCAACACTTCTTTCCCAGCATGCCTGTGGCCTTAGTGCAACCCGTCAGAACCCTCTAGAGAGAGGCAGATGGCCACAGAGCACACAGACAGATGTTCACCAAAATGCAGACAGGGCTTTCAGGGCCCTATCCCACCCCGCCTTTGCTCTGAGGTAGATCAGGGTTAAGTATCCAGTATCATGTTCACTGTCAAAAAAAGACCAAATCACAATTAGAATCATTTTCCCTCTATCCCCTTCTCCCCAACTAAGAATTAGGTGTGGCAACTCCATTAATTATAACTAGAAGAAGGAAGAAGAGTTGGTTTCAAATCTTCCCTCCCTTGGAGCGTCAGGCATAGGAAAATTGAGATCAAGAAGGCTTACTCTCTGGAAATCTCTCTCTCAGCCTATTTCATTCCTCCTTTGGGAAGCCATACAGCAAAGCCAAATACAACAGAATGGACTAGAACTGGTGGATTCCAGGGCTAGAAAAAACCCATCACTGACCTCTCAGAAAGTTACAGTGATCTTTAGAAACAGGGTCTAAACTTAGGTGTGATGGGGTTTAGATTTTTTCACTTGTTAAAGAGTATGTTTCCAAACCTCAGGCCAGATAGACTCTGGCCATCACTGTCCCTCCTCAGACAACTGTATTTCCCCCTTTAGAATCCTTCACAACCAGAAAACAAAGGTCACATTAAGCCAGTCTTTGCTGCACTGATTTCAGAAGTCGTAAGAATATTACTTCTTGAACTGGAAAATGTGACCCTGACTATGGGACAGACATCTCTCAGTTTTCTGGTGTAGTTTCTCTAGTTTTGGCGCTGGAATACACCTGTCACCTGTCAATTGAGAAGTAAAGGGAAAAACCCAAGCTAATTCCCATCCAGAGTCGGGACCTCCCGTTGGCCTTAAAGTAGCAGTAACAGGGAATTCGACCTGGAGTCCATTCTGGGGGAGCAGGGCTTCCCACAGAACACTCCAGACATCAGGAAGACGCAGGACTTCTGCACAGCCCTTCCCTCGCCGGGAGCCAGGCAGAGGAGCTGCGGGGCCTGGGTTCAGTTGCGCACCGCGTCCCAGGCACCACAGGACCAGCTCTGACCCGCCCAGTGCCTTCCTGGGCTTGGGCACACAATAGAGAGTTCCCCTTTTCAGCTGGCAGCTTATGGAATCTTGCTGGGCAGAAAGCATCACATGAGCTGTTTCTCTCCTTAAGAAGAAAGGCCCCGAAAAGGACACTTTCCCTGTCCTTTGTGCAAGCAGGCATTCTAACAGGATAGCCACAGTGCCCATTTCACCCTGCAGTGACAGGTGCTCGGGGCTTCTCCTCTGAGGACGGCAAGGCCTCTAGGCGGTGGAAGCTTTCACGTGAACCAGTGAAAATCTAAGTTTGAAAGGCTAAACACCGTTTACAGTCCTTCCCACTGCTAACCCTGTATTTCTCTACAGTGTGATAATGACCTGATTTCCCACGTGCTCTCAGAAGCAAGCAGTGACGACTCGGAGTCAGCTACTGCAGAGAGGGTCCCAGTTAGCTCTGCAGTTTGTCCTCAGACTCTAGCAGGAGAACCTCTGAACACGTGAGCATGGGCGATGAATACGAAGTCTGGTTTTGCTCAGGTGACAGGGTTGCTTGGCCTTCCATGATTACTCAAAGACAAGCTGCTGAGCTCTTCAGCTCCCCCATGGAGTGGTCTGCTCAGCAGCCCCTGGGGGTGACTCATAGAGTAAGTTACTGCCCAGTGTGTGTCACCTTGACCACACTTTGCTCCCAAGGTTCCCATACAGTGAGTGGCCTTGCGACTGCACACGGTTGCCATGATTTTCCCTCAGAGGACCTGGTTTGGGGCATTGTCAGTGTTTTCGGTTCTCAGGTAAGAAGTGCGGAGCTATCCTCGCCAGGGCTCCAAGACACAAAGTGGAAAGGGCCATGGAGATGGCTGTCCCATGGCCGTGGGTCCTAGTCATCTGCTTTTGGCAGTTTCTTTGCCCTGAGAGCTAGAGTCCTGATAGTCCAGTGGTGGGGGGCGCCCAGTACCCACCCGGTACAAGGCTCTAGGCTACTTCCCTGCAGGTGGCTGGGTGGTCAACGGTCCCTGGAAACTCCCAGCCCTCCAGCACACGAGGGGCAGGTCCTCCACTCTGTGCTTCCATGTTGGTGCCACGTGAGAACCAAGGGGGTCTCTCAGAGGCGTTGCTTCTACGGCCCCCAATGAGCCGCTCCCTCCTCGGAGGAAAGAAACACGAGGGGGAGTGGGGTGTGGGCAGTGCCACCCTCAAATTCCCATAGGTCCATGGGGTTTGAGAATTGTATTACTCTCGATCTTTTTAAGTGACTTTTTATTCTCCATAGTTGAGCATCGTTTGCGTTTTTATTAGTTACAGTGCTATTAAAGAATGTGTTCCTTTTTCATTTTATCAAGTACTTACGTTTAAGTGTTAAAATCCTGAATATCTGAAACCTTTTTTGTTTTTCTTTAACAATCAGTGGAGGCCTCTCATGTTTTGATTATTAGCAGTTAAATATAGTTTATATATATAAAGCTTAGATGAATTTTTGTTGTCATCCACTTTTTTAATACAGGTACCTGTGTTTCATGCATTCCTTTCTGATCAGTTTGGAAATGAGTTAAAATTTACCTCTACATTATATATGAGAGCTACAGATTAGAGAAAGAAAATCATTACGACTTTGCCTTACCTTTTATATGTGCCAAGGGGTCATAAAACACTTCAAACATTCAATTATACTGGATCATTCTTCCACAGTTGACCTCCTGCTACTGCTCACAGCTACCTGCAGTCTGGTTGGAAATAGTATCACTGCAGAATGAGTGTGACTAAAAACAAACCAAGACCTCCCTGGGCGTTGCCTTCTCTCCATCTGACCGAGTTCAGTCCCGTGCATCGGTCCTTCAGGTCTGACTGCCCACCACGAACAGGAATGTCACCTCCACTTTGTCAGAGACGAGGAGCAGACACAAAGCTCAGTGGCATTTATGGGGTCTGCTAACGACAGCTGACCTGTCAGAGTCGACTCAGATTTACTATTTTTGTTTTTATTTTGAGCAGCAGCCCCCTGGGGTGGTTATAGAACCAGAGCGTGTATGGGGGACACAGGGCCTCTGGGTGGCTGTCCCGTGGAGGCTGGGCCATCCCCCGCCCCACAGGTGCACACCTGGCCCCACCCCTGCATGTCCAGAGCAGGGGCGCTGGTGGTCCGCGGGGCGGGAGAGGAGGCCGGGTGAATTAAGGACAGCACCTGACAAGCTGGATTTCTCCCAAGCCATTACTGCTACCCCCCACCGTGTTACTTTCAAAAGCTCTCTTTTTATAGTGTTAAAAAGAAATAAAAAGTTCCTGTAAACAGGCTTGAGACCACTTTGATGTAAAAGTTGTCATAATAATTTGTCTCACAATGGCACAATTCATTTGACTTATGGAATACCCTCTTGTGCCATTTACATCCTATCGCTTTGTTCTCATTCATCTTTATGCTGTAACTCATACTGATTTAAGAAATGGCTTTTCCTTTTGGCAAAGTGATTCCATTCAGTACGGTTATAATAAAAGACTAATGTGAAACTGAGAACGTAGCTTGACTTGTTCCAGGCAGGGGATCCGTGCTGAGCAGGCCTGACCCAGAGGAGACCCGTCCAGGGCGCGGCCAGCAGGGCCCCCCGCCTGGCCTCACCTGTGTCACTGCATGAGGCGGTGACCTAGGGCTCACGCCTAACCCTGCTGGTCCCTTCTTCCCCAGTTTGGGCCCTGCTCCACCTACTGGTCCAAGAAGCCATTTGGGGGCAATGCCCCAACAGCTTGCCACCCTCTCTCCACTGTCCCCCCTCCACACCGGGTTTGCCCTGGTAGCCTCGCTTACACCCAGCTAACATGGGATTGGATGAAGGGCCACAGTGCAGAGTGCACTCCAAGTCTTAAATGACAAACCAGGAAAGGGGGGGGGGGATCTGCATAGCTTAGGTAGAACTAGGAGGCCAGTGGTACCTTTGTGCCACTGCCAGAATTCGTGCCTGGACCCATCCCTAGCCTAGGCCTCTGTCCCAGGCCCAGCCAACAAGGGGCTTTCCCTCCCATGGGGCACAACCCACATTCCCCCAAGGGACTTTATTACCCACCTGTTCTGCCCTGGAAAGGTGGGAGGGCGTGGCACACTTCTCAGAATGGCTCATGCTGCTGACCAGTGATGACCACCCACACCGGCATCCCTCCCTGGCCGCTGGGAGCAGAGATTGGGGGAGCAGGTGTGGTCGGTGCCTCACCCCTAGCCCTTGGGAAGACGACTTCGGGGCTGCTGGATCCGCCTCCTGTTCTACCTGCATCACCGGCTGAGAAGAGGTGAGTGCAGGGGCCTTCCCTGCAGGCCTGAGTCCGGGTGCTGGTGGCCTTGCCTCTCCTGACTCCCTTCCCCACCCCTGTATGGTGTTTGCTCCTCCCCCCGAAACGAGCCGCTCTTCAGCTTCTCTCAGGGCCGGGTCTGGGGGTATCGTACTGACACATCTTCCTTCCAGGGCCCCTTCTTCAGGCAGAAGCCATGCCCCTGGCTCCCCCTCCACCAGGTGAGCTGGAAGAGGCTGCAGGTGATCGAGGTGGGTCCTCTGTCCTCGCAGACGGCTGTGCAGAGGAAGGGTCTCACCAGTCCCATCCAGGGCCGGGGCAGCCTCTGAGTGAGTTGGTGCTCCCCGGCCCACTGAGTTCCCAGCCCCTCCCCCGTGACCATCCCCCACGGCTGACAGCGCCATTCGAGGGGCTGCTGACAGCTGTCTTAATTTTGATTTGCCTCTGTCGCAGACAGCGTTCTTTGCTTCTTAAGGATGCGTAGGTGTCACCAGAAATTTCTGCACCGAGAGGCACATCTGTTGTGAGAAAGGACCCTTCTCACAGAATGGTGGCAGACCGAGGA